TCCGTTTATTCAAGCACACAATGTGCCCAGTTTGTTATTTGGATGGCACGAGCCCTTACTTGTTTACCTGTCATGTTCTGCCTCTTCTTTCTTCCCTGTCCTGCACCCCCTGCACTTCCTTGTCATGGCATGAACTCTTAATTGTCATGTCTTTCCTCCCCTCCTCCTTCTATCGTGCTTATCGTGCACTGACCTCAAGGAAGGAAGGAAAGTGCCTTCCCAGCAGAATCCTGCAGTATGTATACATACTGCAGGATTCACTGCTGTATACAGTGTGAGTGTAACATACACTGCCACACTCATGGCAGTGTGAGTGTATGTTTGTATTATGCTGTGTACAGCTTGTACAGCTCGCTATGTAGGAGTGTATGTGTGTGTGTTCGTATCATTGATACCAATCACAAGTATATAATTGTATTGTAATTGATTGTTGTTATTGTTGTTGCTGTTGTTGTAGGTGTTGTTGTAGGTGCTGCTGTTGTCCCCCTCTCAGGTCGTGCGATTATTATTATCTTTATTGACAAATTAATTACAATTTTGCCTAATTGAGTAGTTCATTAAGTCTTATTAAAGTGAGGATAATGCTGGTATTCACTGTCACACAGGACAGAGGGTCATAAACAAGACAATAGGTCTAAAGTGTAGGCGGAAGCACATATATATATCATGGTTACAATCAACTACATTAGACTGTATACGTTTCAATATACGAATATGTATATACAAGTTTCTATTGTGCACTGCCACACAAGGGCAGGGATGGGTTCATAAGTGATGCAGCTTAGAAGTAATATAAATAAATTGTTCTTCATTCTTTAAAATGGACAAACAAATTTTGGATAAATTGTTAGAATGTCCAGAACACCTGAGTCAATGAAATAGTTACACAGTTGGTGGTACAATAGGCCAGGAGGTCTAAAGTCTTTAACGGTTTCAAATTCAACAATATAGTGTTCTAGTGAATGCATTAAAGGTTTGTCACAGAGTTTACAATCTGAATATTCTAGTAGCAGCTCAGCCTCACTAACCTGCCAGATGTGCCTATAGCTAAAGAGAAGTACAGCAATGACTACATCACATTGCCTGGTTCGGTTACTGTGCTGACCATACAAATACCTATTATTACAAAAGTTGTCATAGCTTTTAATGCTGCAGCTTTCAGGTCTCTGGGCATTTCTTAGTTCTTCTAAATCTGAATTAATTGTGGTGTGTTGCAATACTTTTTCCATAACTCCCTCCTGATGTAAACTGCACTCTCCCCCTTCCCCTCTCCCCCTTCCCCTCTCCCCCTTCCCCTCTCACCCTGGCTAGTCACTGTTGATGGGGCATCGTAGTGAGGAAGGACGAGGCCTGGCGGCACTGACTGCTTCTTCACTATGGGGAGTTTCCTCGTTCATTTAAACCGGGGATCGAATCCGGAACCTCAGGACTACGAATCCCGAGTGCTGACCACTCAGCCATCAGGTCAACCCATATATGGACGTTCACTTTACTGTGTTGTCCTCCTCCTCTGTCAGTATGTGGGCCGGTATGTCTGTGAGAGTGTTCCTGACAGACACGGGGCTGTGACAGACTGACAGACGTCAATACGGGGAAAATGTCAAATAAGAGAACAACAAGAACAGACATAAAAACACACACGTCTCCCACGAAGGTGTCTGGTCATAGACCGGGCCGCGGGGACGTTGATCCCCGAACTCAACGCAAGGTAAGGTCTGCCGTTTTCAGTGTTGGCAGGGCTGTTGGGCCCTGGCTCAGCCTTCGTGCGGTGAGCGGAACCCAGAGAGAACGTCCCACTTGGGCTGAGAACACACGATGAATTATAGAAATATATTTGATTCTACCTATTCCATGCGCCCCCCTTTAATAAGGCTGTAATTATAATTATAAATTTATTTGTTGTGTATTTACTGATATTCTGAAGGTCAGAGGGGCCTGACAGCTGAGTGGGCAACGCTTCGGATTCGTAGTCCTGAGGTTCCGGGTTCGATCCCCGGTGGAAGGCGAAACAAATGGGCAGAGTTTCTTTCACCCTGATGCCCCTGTTACCTAGCAGTAAATAGGTACCTGGGAGTTAGACAGCTGCTATGGGCTGCTTCCTGGGGATGTGTAACAAAAAGGAGGCCTGGTCGAGGACCGGGCCGCGGGGACGCTAAGCCCCGAAATCATCTCAAGATAACCTCAAGATAAGGTGTAAGTGTGTGTACTCACCTAGTTGTGCTTGCAGGGGTTGAGCTTTGGCTCTTTGGTCTCGCCTCTCAACCGTCAATCAACTGATGTACAGGTTCCTGAGCCTATTGGGCTCTATCATATCTACATTTGAAACTGTGTATGGAGTCAGCCTCCCCCACATCACTACCTAATGCATTCCATCTGTTAATTACTCTGACACTGAAAAAAATATCTCTAACGTCCCTGTGGCTCATTTGGGAACTCTCCACCAGTGTCCCCTTGTTCGCGTACCGCCCGTTTTAAACAGTTGATCCTTCAATTCTCTGCCAATTCCCCTGAGAATTTTATAGGTAGTGATCATGTCTCCCCTTACTCGTCTGTCTTCCAGTATCGTGAGGTGCATTTCACGCAGCATTTCCTCGTAACTCATGCCTCTTAGTTCTGGAACTAATCTAATGGCATACCTCCGAACTTTTTCCAGCTTCGTCTTGTGCTTGACAAGGTACGGGTGCCATGCTGGGGCTGCAAACTCCAGGAATGGTCTTACGTATGTGGTATACAAGGTTCTGACTGATTCCTTACACAGGTTCCTGAAGGCTGTTCTGATGTCAGCCAGCCTCGCATATGCCGCAGACGTATTTTTTTTTATGTGGGCTTCAGGAGACAGGTTTGGTGTGATATCAACTCCTAGATCTTTCTCTCTGTCCGTTTCATGAAGTACTTCATTTCCCATTCGATATCCTGTGTCTGGCCTCCTGTTTCCACCGCCTAGTTTCATTACCTTACATTCACTCGGGTTGAACTTTAGCAGCCATTTGTTGGACCAATCATTGTCTAGGTCATCTTGTAGCCTTATACTATCTTCCTCTGTTTTAATCCTCCTCATAATGTTTGCATCATCAGCAAACAATGAGTGTGTGTGTGTGTGTGTGTGTGTGTGTGTGTGTGTGTGTGTGTGCGTGCGTGCGTGCGTGCGCGCGCGCGTGCGTGCGTGCGTGCGTGCGTGCGTGCGTATGGGTGGTGGGGGGGGTTAAGAATGTCACCAGCGACACAGTCAGCGCTTCACCTAACGATCTGATCATTACCAGGCTACAGTCGTTGGCTGCACCAGGCTCGCCACGGTGGCTAGGGTGAGCAGGGAAGGTGGCTAGGGTGAGCAGGGAGGGTGGCTAGGGTGAGAGCGCCCACACCTTGACAAGGCAGACGACCAGGTGACGGGCCGCGGCCAAATCACAGGGGCTCTCGCTCAAGCATAACGTCACGTGACCTGCCAAGTGTCATCGGCGGATGTGACGTGGGAACTCTACCCGGCGCCATCTTGGTTGACCAAAATCAGCAAACACCGGGCCGCGGGGACGCTAAGCCCCGAAATCATCTCAAGATAACCCAAATATTGACAGATAAGGAGACTGACTCACATATAAACAGAGTAGCTGACGTGCTCACAGATAGACAGCTGCAGATATACTTAGAGATAGATACGAGGAGGCAGAGTTACTCAGACAGAGGGAGATGAACAGACAGAAAGGAAGCAGCTGAGACAGACGTCCCGGCTTCTAGTCCGCCTCACATACCTCAACACCGGAAAGACTTTTTATCCCGATAACGATCAAGGACATGAAGAACGCAGCTAAATATTAGGAAACACGGGCAAACAATTATTTGTGAAGAAATAAGCCATCAACACCAGGAATACTAATAATCACACAACCTCAAAAGTAGTTGTAATGCATCATAACTCTGTCAGGGGGGAGGAGGGGGAGGGGGGGGAATAAATGTATCTTGAATTAATTTTTTGAATAAGATACATTTGAAAGAAAGACGACGTTTCGGTCCATTTTGGAACTCGAACTGGTTTTGGGCCGGAAGTTTCAGGGCATAATATTGTGGCTTTCTGTACACACTGATTATCTTGAGATGATTTCGGGGCTTAGCGTCTCCTTTTCGTTACACACACCCCCAGGAAGCAGCCCGTAGCAACTGTCTAACTCCCAGGTACCTATTTACTGCTAGGTGAACAGGCGCATCAGTGTGAAAGAAACTGCCCATTTCTTCCTGCCTCCACCGGGGATGGAACCCGGAACCTCAAGACTACGAATCCAAAGCGTTGTTTACTCGGCTGTCAGGCCCCGGACTGGTAGTTTTAATATAATTCAAGAACAACTCAAGCGCTCGCTGCTTTTTTGCTCGCCTAAATGTGCTCGCGGGATCGAGCACCGCCACAACTTACTAAATTCCCCGTATTATCTTGAGATGATTTCGGGGCTTTAGTGTCCCCGCGGCCCGGTCCTCGACTAGGCCTCCACCCCCAGGAAGCAGCCCGTGACAGCTGACTAACACCCAGGTACCTATTTTACTGCTATGTAACAGGGGCATAGGGTGAAAGAAACTCTGCCCTTTGTTTCTCGCCGGCGCCCGGGATCGAACCCGGGACCACAGGATCACAAGTCCAGTGTGCTGTCCGCTCAGCCGACCGGCTCCCTACTACAAATAATCGCCAACAGAGTCTATATGCGTAACTTAACCCATGCCTAACTATACACAAAACTTTAATATTTAATAATATTAATTTTTATACGAAAACAAATCAATTTGTAATGCACAATGCGTTAAAATGGATGAATGTGTCTTTGGGGTCGGCCGCCGGTTTAACGAGCCTAGTCTGAGGACAGGTTGGTCAAAATAATCCTTACTGAAGTTTGATTGGTGTTTGGATGAATGAAAAACATTTGTATTTCTTAAATAAAATATATATTCTTGCTAAATCATATTTTTTAAATACAATTTTTGTATTAACACATTAATCTTCATGTATTTACTATTTCCAGCTACAACGTGTTCCGCAATTTTGATGAATGGCACGACGTTCCCACCCGTCCTGCAAGGTGATTGGTTCTTCTGGGAGGATGGGCGGGGCGCTGAGACCGAGATCTTCCCGGAGCACATAAGTGGGCGTGGTAAACCCGTAGATCGGGAGATGATTCGTCGAGACACCTTCCAGTACGTCTTCCAACACCAATCAGGATGCTTCTCCTGTGCAAGATTCATAGCTAGGTCTTGGAACATCATAGAAAGGCTGGAGAGTAAGGAGACACTTGTGTTCATTTATCTTATCACAATGTATGTATGTATGTATGTATGTATGTATGTATGTATGTATGTATGACACGGTAGATGTATGGACACGGAGATGGTAGCCAAGAGAAGTCTTGCATACAACCCCCCAAGCACTACTGATGTAGGTAATGGAGTTCTCCAAGGTTGTATAATGTTTACCATGTCGTGGTCCAGGGGTAAGGCGCGTCTCGGGGGGGGGGGTACCCAGGACGCTGAGTCAATGCACATCCTGCTCCAGTGATTGTTCTTATAGATCCATGGTGTTGTTGTGGTCTCCTTGTGTGTGACGAGCGTGTGTAGTGAAGACGCCTCACACCCATGTGCACGTGTGTCTCAAGAGATGTACCGTGACGGTGACGGAGTGACGGGTGTCCTGTGGAACTAAATCTCACATCTGTAGACGATAGAAGAAACAGATTGGATATGATCGCAACATACAAGATACTGAGGGGAACTAGACAAGGTGGACAATGACAGCCTCTTCAAAGCGAGATAAAGTAGAACAAGAGAACACGAATGAAAGCTCCATCCATAACTTTAAGACCACAAATTTCGATAAAGAATTCGAATGTCAGAGTAGCTCAATTACAAGGCAACAGGTACACCAAGGCTAATAAGCGGGGGCATATATAGAGCTAGATCTCGCTTCTCCGTAGTCATTGATACCTAAATGACAGCGGTTGCCCGAAATGCTGTGCGTATAGTGGCTTTAGGCATAGTATATACTAACTATAGGAACCAAGCGTATTGGCGTTTGTCTTTCCATTGGACAATTTCAGCATCGTGGGGGAGGGGGACCTGCTGCATGGGTAACAGCTTCTCCTTCATATCGACCTACCCTGGCTTTGTGGCCTGGCAAGACCACTCCTGCCTCGACCACCAGAGCGCAACTCCATAGTCTCCCGAGACTGCAGGATGCCTACTACTAATACTAACTCCATCTAGAAATCCAACATTCTGTAACTCATTTTTATGTGTACGTTTACCTGAATAAATCACTGTATTATTATTTATAAATACTGTTCTCACGTTTATCTTTTCATAACTACATTAAAAGTGTGTGTGTGTGTGTGTGTAGTATATACATTTATTATGTATAACTAGAGTATGTACATAGTAAATGAGATTGTATGCTCCCCGGCAGGTCCTTGTGTGAGCCCGGAGCGCCTGGCGGCCACCACGTGCCAGGTGGTGTGCGCCAGGGTGGGGGCGGGCGGCCGCAGCGGCGCCCTGCTCTTCCGCCAGGACCCCGTTCTCCTCAACTGCCGCCCGGCCATACACGGCCTCTACCACTTCGCCTGGCAGAACACCTTCAGGTGAGTGTGTATTCACCTAGTTGTGCTTGCGGGGGTCGAGCTCTGCTCTTTCGGCCCGCCTCTCAACTGTCAATCAACTGTTACTATTTTTTTTTTAGCCCTCACACCCCAGGAAGCAGCCCGTGACAGCTGACTAACTCCCAGGTACCTATTTACTGGTATTACTTTAACCTGTTTATTGTACTTATTTATCAGTGACTACGGGGAAGTGAGGTCTAGCTCCTGGTGCCCCGCCTGCCAGCCTTGTTGTACCCGTTGTGTTGTAATGTTGGTGCTGTGGGGGGGGGGAAATGGGATGGTAGTGAGGACGGAAAAGATGGCCAGGTTTGAGTGGTGGGGTTAGAGCATGGAAGGGTATTGTGGAAGAGGTATGTGGTTTGAATATTAAGAATAACAAGGGAAAATTGTGAGGGAGAAAGCTCTAAGCCGGCCTGACTACACGGCACTGGGAAGGGATATGAGAACAAGGAACTGGGAAGTGAGGACAGGAATGAAGGAACAGTGTTCAGCCACTAGGACCATCGGGGATCGAACGTCGACCCAGCAGGAAGTGAGGCAATCGTTTTACCCACCAGTCCTAAGTGGTTGGGTAAGAGAAGGGTAATATTGACACAAATTCAACATTTCATTGAACATTTAACCCGGTTATTGTAGTTGATTTAACGACAACTTTAACTAATGACGACTGACAACTGTTTCTCTTGTTTCATCTCCATCAGAATATCAATTTATCCCGTTTGCAGTCGCGTATATTTAATTATTAGATGTTCAATTATTAATTGGTTTCTAAATTGCCTATTTCACAGTAGTTTCCCATGAAATATTTTACCTATTTTTAATTTATTTTCCTATTTACCAGCCATCCTTTATTATGCCTATTTACCTGTTATTTTCCCTACCTATAGACCTCTACCTGTACAATTTCCTATTTATGTGTAAATTTCCTTCACTTTCAACCTAAACGATAATTATCACCCATATTTTCCTACCCCCAATTATCTTCACTATTTGAGTTATCCGTCTATTATAATTTTCGAACCCCATTAGCCTATTTATACCATTTCTGTAATGCAATGGTTCTCGACCATTTGTGCCCCTATGTAACCCTTCTGACCATGTCAGAATACCCTCCCCCCCCCCACCATTTCCAATACTGTCTAAAACAACTATTAATGGACGATTTTCACAAATAAAAAAGTGAAATATTTATCTTTATTTCTAATTTAATCTGTGACATCACAATGCTGTGATGCCCTGCAAGATTGTGTGCAATCTGTACGATTGTAGTTTGTAGAAAGATGAGGAACATTACATCTTTCCTTAATCTTTGATGGCTTTGGTTACAGTTATTAAACAGTTTACAAGCATGAAAACTTGCCAGTCAACTGTTGTTATAGTTATAAACAGCCTCCTGGTGCTTCGGAGCTCATTATCTGTTTAATAATTGTAAACAAAGCCGCCAAAGATTGACGAGAGATGTACAGGTTCGTAAGTACTTGCGTAACTGCTTCGTGAATCTGGCTCATTGATCTAATGCCCGCTATGACCTTCATCATTTGGTTTGGCAGCTTCACCGGGGAGTGCAACCACCCAGATGCGTCCATCCGATCGTGTCAGCAGCCCGGCAGCCAGTTCCTGATTGACAGTCAGACCTTCTCCGTCCATTATAAGAAGTGTGAGGGCCTTGGGCATTCCTTCGATGCAAGTAAGTACTTATATACCCCCACAAGTACTACTTATACCTCTCAAGTGTCTTTACGTCGGGGTGAGCTCTAGCTCTATCTCCAGTCTATAGTCTTGTATAACTTTCTGCTCTTGGGTGGGGGCGGGGGTTTGTTTAATAAGGGAAACACTGGGGGTGAATGGGGGTTTGTGGGGGTGGGGTGCTAACCAGGGGAGCTGTGGGGTAGGGCTAGAGATGTGTGAGCACAGCAGGATATCAGACATAGCGGTTTGAGCACAGATAGCGGTTAGAGCAAAGAAGGATATCGCAAACAGTGGTTTGACCACAGGATATTGCAGATAGCCGTTTGAGCAGTGTAGGGGTTAACATACTATCAGCGTTCATCCACGCTGTAGCCTGATGCCGTGGCCAGCCTGAAGAATGTATTTTGTGATTCTTCATATTGTACTTTTATTTTTATTTAACAAAATTATCTTTCCCGCCCCTTGACCCCCTCCTCCCATAACCTTCACCACCTCCTCCCCCAACCTTCACCCCCCCCCCCTCACCCCCCTACCTTCACCTTCCCCCCTCCCCCAACCTTCACCCCCCTCCCCCAACCTTCACCCCCCTCCCCCAACCTTCACGTCCCCTCCCCTAATCATATGGCCCTTCCCCAGCCGTGGTGTTCTCGTGCCTGGGGGACTGGTACGTGGGGAAGAACCACTACTTCGCGGTGGTGAACACGAAGGAGTCGCGGAAGGAGGAGATGTATCGGTGCTTCGTGAGGAGCCGGGAGGACGACCTGTACATGGGCCACTCTCTCACGCCGGAGTGCGCCCCGCTCAAGACCCCAGAGAACAGCCCCGTCAGGTTCCGCCTCTCCTACGGTGAGACAGGTAGACGGGTGGGCACGAAGGGATAGGAAAAAGAGAGAGAGAGAGAGAGAGAGAGAGAGAGAGAGAGAGAGAGAGAGAGAGAGAGGAAGGGATAGAAGAGGGCATAGAGGGAGAAGAAAAAAGATAGGCAAAAGTATATTTTACATCATTGCAATCTTACAAAAGTTGCACCAATTCAAAGAACTAAAAATCCTGTATGATGAAGTAACAAAACCTGAGCAACAAAAAGTGGAGCAAAGCTGTAATCTTGCCTTTAATTACGTGTAGCCTTACCGCGTGTCGTCTCCGGCAGTCAAGCACGAGGACGTGAGCCCCGGCTGCTTCCTGCCCAGCAACCTGACGGGCAGGTGGGAGTCGACGGGGGCAGGGGAGCCGCAGGTGGTCATCAACGCCACCCACATCCAGGAGACCATCTGGAGGGGCTACTCCGCCAAGACCTCCTCCTACGTGTGTCTCCAGCAGCGGGGCGACCGCTACCTGATGGCCAAGCTCAGTGTGGAGGGGTGGTAAGTGTCTGTAGGGTATAGGGGGGGGTGAAGGGCATGGAGGGGGTGGAGGGTATGGGGGTGGTGGAGTGCATGGGGGGTGTGGAGGGCATGGGGGTGGTGGAGGGTATGGGGGTGTGAAGGGTATGGATGATAGGGAAGAGTATGAAGGGTAAAAGTAGTTTTTTTTATTATTATTTTCTACCACAGACGTCGCCACAGATTTACAATGCTAATCAGAATATATACATTTTCTTCTGTCCTCTATAGAAAGGGTTAGAGATCTTGTAAACATATAGTTCAGTGACTTGTTGAACAACCAACCATATGTGATTGTAGTGTTTTTAAAATGATTATCTAACCTACATACATAAATGGAACATAGTCTTCTGAAACTCCTCTCCTCTGATCTTCAGAAGGAATAATACATCTTCATTCCTTCTGAAGATGTATTATTAAAATGCGAAAGTACTGAAGGAAATTCCTGTTTCAATTCTTCTCTGTGGTCTGACACTGTCACACATACACATGTATATATGCGAACAAGCCTGAATGGTCCCCAGGCATACATGCAACTGGATTGTGCGGTCGTGATGGTCGAGTGGATTAGGTGCCCTGTACACCAGTTGCAAAGTGCTCCTGGCAGTATGGGTTCGAGTCACTTCTGGGGTATGAGTTTTCAGTTACATGTATATATATTTATGTCTCCTACCTTGAAAGTAAGATAGCTGCTATAGAAACTAGTGTTATTGACAACTTAACTACAGCTTTTGGTGAATGAAATATTAAACTAGAATAGAACAAATTCTGAGGTTTGCTACTAGATTAGTGCCAGAGCTTAGAGGGTTAAGGTATGAGGATAGGCTGAAGGAACTGGATCTTACGACCTTGGAGGACAGAAGAAATAGATGAGATATGATGACAACGTACAAGATACTGAGGGAAATAGACAAGGTGGACAAGGACAGACTCTTTATTGTGAGAGAGAAAGTAGGACAAGAGGACACAAGTGGATGCTGGAATAACAAATGAGTGGAAGGAATGTAAGGAAGTACTCGTACCCTATACGGCCGGTCAAGACGTGAAATGAACTTAAAGAAGAAGTTGTGGAAGCCACCTCCGCTCTCAGCTTTAACGAAAGGTTCGACAAATATATTGTTAGAATATTGAGGCTGTGACGCAACGAGCATAACAAGGCTGGTAGGCGGGGGACCAAGAGCTACAACGCAGTGCCTCGTAGTCCCTCACAGGTAAGTACAGAGGGTGATTAAGATGCTTGTACAAGCAGGGCTGGAGGTGGGTGTGGAGGGAGTCGAAGGGAGGCGTATGGAGGGTAAGAGGACGGGCGTATAGAACAGGGGAAGAGGGGTGGAGAGTTTGGAGGGTGTGGAAAACAGGCGGGGAGAAAAATGGAAGGCCAGCGGAAAGGAAGAGTGTGTGTGTGAACTGTGTACATTGACAAGAACAATTATTTGTTGTCAAAAACTTTGCGTACAACGTTAAATATGTACGTTTAGATAAACCCCAGTTCGTAAGAGCCATAACGTTTGGAACCCAATATATAGATTGTAGCAATGCTAATCATCTCATCTCTTAATATATATATATATATATATATATATATATATATATATATATATATGATATGATATGAATATTTCGGCTTTGTTAAGCCTTTGTCAACACCAGACTCTCACATCATATATATACATCAGTATGGTATATGACAAAGGCTTTAATAAAGCCGAAACGTTATATATATATTATCATATATATATATATATATTATATATATATATATGATATATATATATATATATGATATATATAATATATATATATATATATATATATATATATATATATATATATATATATATATATATATATATATATATATATATATATATATATATATATAATATAAAAGGTCCCAAGGTCACCGTTATCCATCATGCATCCCAAACCGACAAGTTACATCCATGAATCTCTAATCCATGTTTTTGTCCTGTTTCTTCCCCTGTGGGGGCGCTGTTACCACACTGTGGGGGAGGCAGCCAGACGGAGTACGTGTGCTGGGAGCTGGTCCCTCGCCACCACAACATCGTCAGGTACCGCCTCACTTGGCCCCTCATCTACAGGAGCTTCCAGGTGTGTGACTACGCCAACTTCAGGAGCACCAGGGAGTGGAAGTACGACACTCTCATAGGTGGGTGTGTGGGTGTGGTGTGGAGGTGGTGGGTGGGTGTGGTGGGGTGAGGAGAGGTGTGGGTGTGGAGATGATGGGTTGTGTGTGGGGGATAGTAGTAATATAGTGTGGGAGTAGATTGGGTTTAATTAAGTGTAGTGTAATGGGCATGTTGTAGTAGTATGAGTAGCTTGAGTGAGATTAAATAGGGAAGAGTACGGGTGTAGTGGTAGCAAGCGTCACACGACAGGAGAGTGTGATATACTAATTTGTTCGTCAGTTACTCATCACTTTCCATTAATCCTCAACGTGCTGTCCTCCCATCACTCATCAACTTCCCTTCCATCTCCACCCCTTCCATTCTGCGAGATCCCTCTCGAGACATCCCTTCCACACACACACACACACACACACACACACACACACACACACACACACACACATACACACACACACACACACACACACACACACACACACACACCATCCTGACGCAGAAGTAATCACTTATGCCAAGACAGACAAACCTTTTACAGTGCGCATCTCTCCCTGACAGCGGAGTCCCCTGATCCAGTCTCCTGTCCAATTGGCGGTCGCTTCTACTTCGCGCAGCGAGGCCCGTCGCCCCTCGTGCCCAGAGTGCTCGGGGGCATCACCTCCTCTCCCCTCGACACCTACCCCTGTCACGTACGGGTTTCTGTCATGTCCATATGTTCCGAGGACCGTAAGTGGATTGTCATTGATACGGACCTCTGTCTCTCTCTCAACAAGGACGGACATCCTGTCGATTTTAACAGTAAGTGTAGACGGGAAAAAATAATCTCTCATCGTTATAAATATATTCTAACTCACAATCGCGAATTCGGGTTCGAATCCCTGGCCGGACAGAAATCAGCCCGTCCTCCAAACAAAGACCCAAAAGTGATTCCATGTACCCGCCAAACCCCCTGTTGAAAATGAACAACGGTTTACACACGACTCTCAACTGATTTCGTTCGAACACTTCCGGAACAAGTGCTTCACTGACGAATTTTGTTAGAGCCACAACGCTGTAAATGCTTCACCCACGTACTACAAATAATCGCCAACAGAATTATTGACGATTAATTGGCTGCCCTTCTAAACATCTAACTTAATCTATGCCTATATATGCACAATATGTTAATATAATATTAATTTATATATGAGAAAATTCCTGTTTTGAATGAACAACATGTTAAAAATTATGAATGCGTCTGTGGGGTCGACCGCTGGATGCAATGGACTTGAGTCGAGGACGGGTTGCAGAAATGATTTGCATGTTCACTTAGTACCATAGTTGCATGGTCACTAATGCACCTGTTCACCTAGCAGTAAATAGTACCCAGGAGTTTGTCAGATTGTCGTGGGGTTTCATCCTGAAGGGGGGGAGGATCTCGATATAAGGCTAACGTATATACATATATATACTCTGGCTGCCTGTCCCCTGACACATTGAATTATTATGAATTAACAGGTGTATTTGTTTACGCAATTTATTATAATAGCAGCCGGTATACATCTTGTATAAGTCACGTAAATAAATGCATATTATATAATTTGGAAGATACATATTCATCATGAATTAACATGTGTCCTGGTCTCAGGTGTGACTGATTACCGCCTGCAGTGTGTGGGGTACTGGCAGGAGAACCTATTGTCTTACCTCGTCACCTACGACCCCTCCGACTCCGTCTCCAGGTTCAGGTGCTGGGTGAGTCATGGGTGCAGGTGCTGGATCAGTGATGGGTGATTGGTGAGTGATAAGTACAAGCAGGCGATGAGTCACAATAACGTGGCTAAAGTATGTTGACCAGACCACACACTAGAAGGTGAAGGGACGACGACGTTTCGCTTCGTCCTGGACCATTCTCAAGTCGATTGATGCATATTGATACAATCGACTTGAGAATGGTCCAGGACGGACCGAAACGTCGTCGTCCCTTCACCTTCTAGTGTGTGGTCTGGTCAACATAAGTACAAGTGCTGGGTGAGTAATGGAGGCAAGTGCTGGGTGAGTGACAGATTCAAGTGATGGGTAAGTGACAGGTTAGTGTTAGTCACATATGCCATAACCACCATTACTACAGATTTTATGTAAGCACTAATAGTTACGATAGCAGCCGTAGTAGCAGTAATAATATTGGTAGTTTCAATAGCAATAATAGCGGCAGCTGTTTTAGAAATAAAATAGTGGTATAAGTATTAACCCTTAAACTGCACAACAGGTCATATAATGTGTTGAGTAACTTGCTATAAATTGCGCATCACGTCATATGACGTGTTGGAGTACTACGCCAGATTTAATTACTATAATAGTTGTCTGTTGCCCCGACGCCTTACTTCCTCTGGCGTTGGCCACAGAATAAAATTATCCAGGAGATTTGATCATGCAGAAAAATTAAATGAATTATCAAATATGAATTATTACTCCTGAACTGTTGTGAATTATAACCCCAATTATGAAATTATAACCCTCTGCAGTGTATGGTTTACAACTCCTGGGAAGTGGTAGCTCATGGTGCAATGTCTACTGAATGCTACAATTGTAGTACTGAGGGCTGTTGTAGTAGTATTTGTTGTATTATGTAATTATGATGGTAGTTGTAGCAGCAAGGGTTATGGGGAAAGATACTGAGGCTAACAAGGCTGCCATGTTTCAGGTGTACCAGCGAGTGGGACTGAGCCAGGTGTTGGTGTCACAGTCGGTGGGGGCGGCCTGTGGGCTCCATCAGACCTTCCTCTCCCACACCTACGAGGAGAGCGCCGCTGTGGCCCTCAACCTCACTCTCAGCGAGCGCCTCTGTGAGTCTCCGTGTTTGTCCTCCCCGTATTCTACTCTCAACCGTTGAAGTTACAACTGACACATTTTGGATGGATTGTGAGGTTATTCTCAAGAACATAAGAGTGGATTAAGTACTTGTAAAGCTCAAAGCACCTCATACCAGCAGATCTAAGGGGTATTATGATTGGATATTCAATACTGTAATGGGGATCATGACCCAGTTCCTGTTCACAGAGTTTAACATGGAGTTTACCAAACACAAATAAAAAATATGGAGTGCTCAGATTTGAGAGATGGTCACTCGCAGCCATCTGCCACAAGGTATGGTAACCCCAACCTGATCCTGGTCATTACTCTCACACTGGCGAACATTTTGTGCTGCCCTTCTATATGAACATCAGATCTGAACAGATCATAGTCAAACTGGTGCTTTTTGTCCTTGGAATATTAGGGATTTCTCTCTTAACAGACCTGAATGTTTGGAGCCATATAATTTTGACAGCAGAGATGGAGGTATTGAGGTCTAGTGCAGGTTTCCTCTTTGTTGCAAGCTGTGTTAGGTTCTATACCTCTATCGTCAGTGTTTAGATTTGTGGGAAATGGCATCTTTATAAAAAAGATTGTAAGGTGTTCTATGTAGTGATCGGGTTATGTATGATTACTACACTACAGTATTATGAAATTCTTGCTAAATATCTAGCAGGAGAGGTTTTAAAGTGCTTGAAGAGTAGACATCGAAACGCAACAAATTACTTCTTGTTCTGTATTTTTAGTGTACTGGTAGCTAGTTGTAGCACAGCTAGTTTTGTTAGTGTAGGGTTTGAGTCAGTTTAACCTACCAGTGATAGTCTGTGTGGCAACATTGCTGCTATAAAACCTGCGAGCTTGTGCCATGCGTCCTCTTGATGGTTGGACTGAACCACCAGTGTAAACCTACTGGTCGAGAGACCCTAAGTTTTTGTTTATAGTGAAGGCAGTCATTTCAGGTGTGACTAGTTTTAATAGAGAGAGAGAGAGAGATTCTCATTTCCATTTTTGATGATGGGTGTGTGTGATACTTCCGTGGTGGGGTGCAGACAAGCTGGGGGTATCAGCGACAGATGCATTCCATTTAGGAGACTGGCCAAAATCCAATTGACTGTTAGTGACTTTGCAAATATATCACTTAACCACCATACAGTTTACTATCACAACCCACTGAAATTAAATACAAATTTACTCAACTAGTTATGTCATGATTTGAATGCAGAAAGTCATTCTGCATTACTTTTAGTTTGTTCAAAGAAACAAACTTCCTCACTTCCTTGTGAGGAAGTGATCAAATACAAGGCATGGTAATCAACTAGGGATCTAACCTACATCATGTACAATAGTCAAGCATATTTAACATTGGTAACAATATTCGAACCAGTGTTTTTAGCAGTTTGTTGTTCTTTAAACCAATAAGTAAGCTGTTTACAATTTCAACTGTTGATGTTTTTTCAGAGGTATTTGTCTTTCCTACAGGTTTCAATGTTTTTATTGTTGTCTTTGAAAGCAAGGTCATTTGTTATTTTATGAGGGAGGGAAATAAAAGTGGTGGGAAGAGGTTTGCTTAACTGTACTGATGGGAATTGAGCTTCATCTTCTGGGACCCGCCACAAACTTTGCTTGGATAATGTATGGGCTTTACTATTATGGTCATATCCTCCACCTTTTCCCTCTCATTCAGCAAGGTGAGGATCAGTTCCTCTCACCTACCACAGTGGTTCATGCCTCTCAGTGCTGGGATCAGTCAAGTAACACACCACTGAGCTTCCTCCAGTTTCATCACATACTTGACGAGGTGAACACTCCCCAATGTGTACTCAAGAAGTGATCGAGTATACTGTATATGGTGTAGAATTCTGAACAAATACTTGTTCAAATTACTGAAGTCGGTTTTCTTTTCTTAACTTGGCATGTGCTGTTGATGTTACCTGTATATTTCCCCAGCTGTTGTTTGAGCTGAAGTACTACCTTGGTAGTTATGACTTTGGCAGATAATAGATTTTGTAATGTTTTTAACATATATGAAAGCATTTATGTCCTCCATTGAGGTTTGGTGATCTTTAAATCTGTGTAAGTGAAGATGGACCTTTTAAAGTGATTTACAATAAAGTTTTCTGACTGGTGTTCAACTGAGATAAGTTAAGGCATGCCATGTAATTAAAATTATTAACCTTGAGGCTCAAATGCTTGACTCACTGACTATTTGCTGTCTATTTCTCAGGTCCGCCTGTATTCATTGATTCACTTTTCCTGACACCCCAGCTCCTTTCTTCTTTGTAACCTAATATTCTTTGAGACACAGTGCCTAAGGCCTCTTGGTATTCAATAAGGAATCGCCCCACCCTTCTTTGTACTATCTGCTATCTCTTAATTCTGTCATGGAAATCTATTAGGTTTTGGGGCAGAATTATAACCTATCTGAACCCATGCTGGTATTTTGTTACAAAAGCCATTCTCTCCAGTAGTTTTAAAATTTCCTTCCTTGCCATCTTTTTCATTACCTTACATGGTATACATGTGAAGGGACACAGGCTTGTAGCTTGAGGGGTTTCATTTCCTCCTCTTGCTTTCTCCAATATCTTCCTCTACAGTCCACTAACTTATCTCCCTTGTAATGTTGCACAGCATGAACTGTTTTCCAGTTGTCTGAAAGCTATGCTCTTTCCAGCTACTCTTTCCATGTGAGAGCTACAGGACCTTGGCTCCTGTTTCACCATGCTGAAAACGTGGAATTATTTATATTATTAACCGCTGAATATTTGGAATCAAGATCACCAGCTCAAATAGGTTGTAGGGTAAGGAAAGGGACTCCAATTGTCGTGTTTGTAAACAAAAAATATACCTTTATTATTTTCAGACGACCAGTGCCCCATGTTCTACGATGATGGCAAAAATCCGTGGCAACCCAAGGACGACATGGTCACTGTCTTCAGGTTCTTCAGCAATGCCCCTTCCCCTTGTGTCATCTCTGATGTCATCATGCTCCTCCTACTAGCAACCCTTGCATGGACTTGAACGATATCTTCACCAAGACTTAATTTGTATAAATTATCACTATTTTTGTACCGTTTCACTCAGGTTGGCTGTGATTTTAGTATTTTGATTGTCTAAATATTAAGAAGTCCTCTGTTAGTGTTGTTTATTGATGCATTACACAAGCCTCGTGGCCTTTGAGTAAGTGCATCTCTGTATGGTTCCATATGTACGTTACTGTGCTTGAAATTTACCTGATTTATCTGAGGGCCACTAATTGTAGTGGCCTCAATGAAGACAGGAAGCCGGTGGCTTGTTGAAGGTCCCCACAGTTGCCTTGATCTTTTTCTAGGTATATTTTAAAGCTCATTTTAATGTGTGTGTTTATGTGAGAATGACTGGGCATTTTTGGTCAAGGGTGTGGGGTAGGGGGGGTGGGTTGAAGAAAGGGATTTTTATCTTAAAATATACAGTCAGTATAAATGCTTAAATGTATTAAGTTTGAAATTGTTTTCTTTCATCAAAACTATTTTTCCACCATGCAGTATTTACAATTTTGTTATATTTCAATGGACAAATGCTAAGTTATAGAATCTTATAAGAATCTGTCGATAAGTGCCAGTTCTTCCAAAAGTCTTCAGTATTATCCTTAGTCGAAGCCATATACAAAATACTGTACATTTGATTGTTAAATAACGTTACTGTAATAGTAAGCCAAGCAGAGAGAGAGTCAGTGAGTTGTGAAAACATCAATTAACAGAGATGTGGAAGGAAGTATGTATGTCATCTAATCCAAAAAATAAAATAAAATCGTGGAAATTCCCACAAAGTTTGACTAATTAAGAGTAATGACTGGAGAATATTTTCCCCCAGAGAACTTAGAGATTATGACCCCGTTTATATTTACTGTGCGTATTGTTTTAAATGCTCTCTGTTGAAAAAAAAAATGGTTACGTCTTGTCTATCAAAGTGTGTAAAGATGCATGTCAAGTTCTATTTTTCAGTTGGGCATCGATTGTCTGGCCACACAGGCTTCGGTAGGCCAGTTTGAGGGGTCATTCGGAATCTTTCTCTCTAGAAGCAGTATTATACTATTATATTTTAGCTTCTTGATAATTGTTTAAGTGATCTCGCATATACTCAGACATCGAACATTTTCTCAAGTGCTTTTAAAGCCAATATGATCTCTTGTGTAATTTGGGATGGTTGAGAAAGGGGAGGGGAAAGGAGCTCTGTGTTCCCACCTTTCTTCCTCTTATACAACCCATTATATATACAGTATTATGTTTTCTGCCTCGTGATTATAATGAGTAGTATCATACAACATTACTGGGATTTATACTGTGTGATTGTAACCAATGTTATGGTATAATGATATAATATCACTAGTTACTATGCCACATTATAATGCAGTGTGTGACAGATTGCTGGTGTCTGTGTTATGTATGATAATAAATGACATTACATGGTGTGTACCAAGTTGCAGTACCCCTGTACCAGGACATTGTAACCAAATTTACACAACTTTATTGAGTACAGTAACACGTTACTATAACATTTATACTGTGTTACTGGGTCTTATGCTACAGGACTGTAATTACATCGTTACTTCCCGTGTAGTCATTTTCCTCTTAAGGTAAGGCTCACTGGATTCGACGAGGAGCCTCAGAGCAGCAACCCCCTTGATTCTATATCATAGTCTCGATTTTAATACCGAATTGTAGGTTAATTGCACAACATTTTCAGGTCTCGTGACTGCTATTTGTGTACATAAAATGTGGCTAGTCAGTGACCAAAGGTTCTCAGTTTAGTTCCTAATACAAATGTAAATAGCCCATTAACCATACCACAAAGAGTTTCACAATACTAACTTTTCACCACACTAAATGCACCTATTTATCTACACTCGAGATAACAAAAAAAAGTGTACAGATTAAATGGTATTTACTGGAAATAAATACAATGGAAATGTAAGATATAGAGGACAATTGAATATTGGCCTCGATAGGTTAAGTAGATAGATTTAAGGCCTCGACAGGTTAAGATAGATTCATACGCTTATATGTGATACAAAAACTGGACGCTTGGTGTAATGTAAGAAATGGCTGTTGTGCAAAGACACTTTTTGGTCACCGCGCGGGACGTCAAGTCACACACTAGGCTAGCTTTAGGTTCCCATTGGGTACAGGAAGCCTAATGGCTTATTGAGAAATCCCTGGCTAACAACTGACCGTTTGCGATGTACAGTACATCAATTGGATAAGTTGGATTCAATTTAAGAGTTGGATAAGTTGGCTAGTATCCATATGTGTTGGTAATAATCCAACATTAAACAGTTTTCATTTTTTGTATGAATTAACAAGAGTACTTTTAAAATGTTTTTTTTTTTTTGGTTCCCCTCCAGTGAAATTCATTCTATTCTTTATGTAAACCGAATGAGAAAATAAATTTTTAATTTTTGTATATTTTGAGTATTGTTGTTATTGTGCCTGAATACAAATTGTATAAACTGAGATACCGGTCAGTGTTGATGACCGATTAATGGCAGGATTCAACGATCATTTACACATCCACTCATTAACCTGTACATCTTTTCTCAATCTTTGGCATTTTTTTTATACAATTATTAAATAATTTATGAGCTCTGAAGCACTGTATGAGGCTATTTATAACAATAATATTTGAATGAGAAGTTTCGGTGCTCGTAAACTCTTTTTGATAAATGTAAGCAAAGTCATCACAAATTGAGAAAAGGTGTTCAGGTTCGCAAGTAGCTAACTAACTACTATATATTATAACTATAAATTAAACTGCTTGTTGAAGCCTGGCCCAGACCAAGGACATCGTATCTTCGCACTTCTGCAGACACTACGATAATCTTCACTGTCAACTCGAGGAGAGAAAACTCTTACGTAAATTGCTTATAGCCATGAATAAGTTTATCACAAAATGCATGATGATAATAAAAGGTAAATTTTGTTTTAACGTGGTTTTTATTACCTTTGTTTTATGTATTAGGTTCAAAGCATTAGTGAAATGTATGTTCAATTTTGTAAAACTTTCAGAGGATATTTATATGAAATTCACAAGTTGTTTTAGGCTTGTGGAGCCTCTCAAACAGCTTGTCTGTGAAAACATAAAAGTACAGAAAAGTAGAGTACAGTCATGACTGTCAATCAGTCTTATTGCGCACAATAACCTAATGTGTTATAATTTCTTACCAAACAGTATCCTAAACTTGTACTGTACCTACGGGCTCACCATAGCCCGTGCTACTTGGAACTGTTTGTTCCAAGTAGCACGGGAATCTTTAACAACAACATATACTGTTCATCATACTCTGAGAACTGCAGAACAATGACGAACAGAACATTGCATCCATCATCATAAGTCTTCGTAATTATGTTCGTCAGAATTCAAAAGAAAGTCAGACGCAATTTGTATTTAGAAAGGTGATGGTACCGAGATGTGTAGCAGCAACGCAAGATCTGAAAGAAGTTATAGAATTCTAAAACAAAAGTTACCCAGTATTCCTGTTTTGATGCCAAGAAAATGTTTAACAGTGAATTACTGGTATGAGTTGCCACACTAAAGCAGAATACAATACCATCTTCATAATGTAACGGGGAAATAAGGGAGACTTGTCACCTGAGGTGTGCTGGTGTCAGTGTGGGATGTGCTCTTGTCAGGGGAGGATGTGGCGCGGAGTTTTAGTGAATTGTGCTCAAGTTCAATAATTGAACAGTCATTGACCTCACCTGAAGCCTGTGAGTGTGTAAGGAACTGGTTAAGGATGTGAGATAGGAGAACATCCAAAGAGTAAGTTGTGGATAGAAGAAGCACTAGGCCCCACATGGAGGACGAAGAGACGGTGGTTCAAACATCGAATTCTTCTTAATTTCGCAGGAGAACTTGAAGAGGAACTCTGTAGGTAAGAAAGAAGTTGTGATATTCCCAATTGAGCTATATGGTTAGGGCCTTCTGCTCCAACGCAAGTAATATAGTTAGAGTATGTTTTGGGAGAAGAATTGGAGACATTGGTTTCTAAACTTTTTTTTTTTTATATAATGAGAGATGGGAATGGACACACAGTAACTATATATATCCTCAGTAAGTTAGAGTAGTAACAAGCATTTTGAGTGAAGAAGCTGTAGCTGAGAGCAAGACATTGTGAGGTCGGTGGGGCCGGATTCACGAAGCAGTGACTTAAGTACTTACGAATCTTAAACCCTTCTTGGCGCATCTTGATTCAGAAAGCTATTTACGAACGCTAATCCTCCCAAGAACACCACTTTACGCCACGACACCTCCAGAGCACTCGTAGCGTTGCGTAAACCATACATAAGTCAAGTGTTAGACCACACAACTGCACAGGACCCAAAACACAGTACCTTCGTGGGCGGGTCCCGGTCGGATCCCGTCCTGTCAGCAATATATGCTGTGTATCTGTAACTCGTATTAAATTTGCATTTCATGAAAAGGCAAATAACAATTAGCAGAGCAAGTTGTTATATATATGCTTAACAAGTCAATATTAACTGCTGTTCATTTAAACTAAGGAAAGCCAGTATTCAATGTGCTTTTTAGACACGCTAAATTTTTTTGCTAATGTAATGTAAAGTTTTCACCCATATATAAAGTCGTAAAGTATTTTAGTAATTAAAAGACCTACATATTAAATTATTCATGGCAAATTAAATACTGAAAACTAGGCCAATAAATTTGAATATGAAAACGTCTTGCCTAAGTTTTTTTTTTAAATATTTGCCGAATTAATAAACTGTTTATAGTTTGAAATTGCTTACCCATATTTGTGGAAAATATAAAACACTAAGTAATAAAGACTAAAACCTTACCTAACCTCACCTGGACCAATGCACTGGGGTACAGTGCAGTTTTTAATGTGGTATAATTCTTTCAGTAAGTTATATAAAGTACGTTACTGCAGTTTAAGTAACTAATGTTTTGTAGATCCAACATTTGCCAATTATTCTTATACCTTGACAATATTATAAGCATTAGAAAACCTGAATTTCCAATTTAATAAGGATGATGCAGTGCTGGTAATAATAATGCTAATACTAATAATAATCATTGTTATTTATATCATGCAGTATACATTACAACATGTTACAGTAGTTAATTAATAGGTACATAAAAGCCATAAGAGACGTTGTAAAGTTTGGCATCATCTCATAATCTTTAAATTTATAATATTTGTCATTAACTTTATGTCCTAGATATGTTAACTATAAATGGTTTATGTCTCAACAGAGGTAGAAACTCAAGCTACAACTTAAAACCTTTACTAATAAGATATCTCTAATTTAAGCGAAAAATAGTATTTGTATATTACAAATATATAATAATATATTATTATAGTGTACAGGACAGTTACCTGTCTAGCCCATACATCATACTCCCATAAATTCAGTAATTAACAGAGATCTGTAAATAATGCTTAAAGTTTTATATGCCACCAGGACGACAGAGTTAGGACAGTTATTATGAATCCATCATAGGGAATATAACTTATCAGAAAGCAAAACACGTTTTGATGAAGGTTTTCTTGGCGTCCCTTCAATTACAGCCAATGAAGTCACGCAATATCTCTTGGACTTAAGTAGGTAAAGAAAAAAATATAACATTTGTTTACTACAATGTTGGTGCTGACTGTAGAACTTGAAACAATTATTTTAATTCGAAATAAACTCGTTTTATAAGAAAGTAAGACATAATTAGGTGATGCCTGATCGATGGTAGTTGAAATATAACAAATATTGATGTTGATTACATATTCGTTAATAATACTTAACGTTTTATGGACCATTTGATTAACACAAATATAAACATTATTGTGACCACATTTCAAGGAAAATAGCTAACGCATGAGCCAAGATATAGTTATGCATCGCCGGTGTTCAGACACTTTAATTGAGACTACCATAGTTGCTAGTCTCCGGACAAACATATGCGATTCGTCACTTCTCCAGCTGAACCGGTAATGTGATTGGCTAAACAATAAGATGAACAATGCTACTTTCTCTCTGGCCAAACGAAAAAAAAACTGGTAACATCTATCGAGAATTAAGTTAACCACATCAAAATTGCTAATAACCGCATAAGATCTACCTTTGTGAATTGTGCGTATGGTTATCATTATTCTATTATGCAGGAAGAACCATACATCTATGGATCATCCAATAAGGTCAGCAGACTTCTAGATGTTATCACTGCTAGGCTACAAATACCTACAGGAGTTTGTACAACCTGCTGATGTAGGCGTGACTAAATGTAAACTCTTGCCAGCAGAACTATTCACACAATTTACGTTATTACATAAGTGAATGAGAAAAATGTTTTAAGGACTTGGAAAAGCCTACCCGTCGACGCCGTAAATGCCAAAACACTGCTGAATTTCAAAATCCAGCTCAATAAAATCATCAGGATAAATGGGGGGGGGGGAGAGCTTTGACAAGCCGCCGGCTACCTGTTCTTGTCGAGCCCACAAAAGAGGCAGTGGCCCACAAGTAAATTCAGGTAAATTCAGAATGATGTGCTACCAGTTATCCTAGCCAAGTATCTAACGTTTGTGTACGCAACTGTGTTTTTTTTATCTGGTATCCAATTGAGCCTTCAAGCCTCCCCTAGGGTGTCACTTGAGCACAGAGGCGTTAGCTGATACATTTTTCTAATGCACTGTGAAGCCGCATCTCTGTTTCGAGGATGATCTCGGGTTTTGGTATAATATGCTTGACTATGTATAATTTGGAATGACTCGTTGAAGGTTTTTTTGTTGTAATTATTTTATTTTACCATGTCTCGTATCTAACTTGAAGGTGTAATCATGACTTAATCTTGACTAGAAGGACTAGCTATGTCTTGACATTGGCTGGTAGCAAAATCTACGCCTACTCCTTGGCTAAGAGGACCAAAATCAGCAATAATACGATACGGGCGTGAAATCTAGATGAGTTACCCTATAATCAGTTTTCTCAAATCCACAGTAACTTCAGTTTTCTTTGATAATTTAGTAGAGTCCCCCCCATAATACAAAAAACTATTATATTTTTAGAACATTAAAACTCGTATATAGGAAAATAATCGTAGATATTTAAATATATATGTGTCTTTTTACCAAAATAACCAAGAAAGAGGAGAAGGAACATATATTAGCTGACTGGTGTAGGAGAATAAGGGAGACGCCAGCCACATTCCTGAGGTGGTCCACCAACGTCTTGGAGGAGTCAGCACTCCCACCTCAGCGTCTGGCCCGGCCGTCTCCTGCATATATTATACTCCCATTTTTTTTTTTTTTGACCCCCATACCTATCTGCTGGGGAGGGGGATGGGGGGGCCGGTGTATCTTGCTTTTGTTCGGTCAAATACGGGAGTGTATTCTGTTTTATGCAAGTTTTAAGGACTTGTTCGAAACGCTATGGTGGTGGCTGTGCAAGATTGTAAGAATTCTTGTATATATGAGTAAATACAAATAAATACAGTTATTTAACTTAATTAGGGTCATACGAGTCCCAGCCCAGCTCCGCCAATCCAATCCCACAACCCACACCTGCCCACACACCCCACAATCCACACCCCCACACCTGCCCACAACACACACCTGCTATACAGTGCCCCCCCAGAACTATGACTCAGGTGCGAGAACACCCCAACACCGACCGAGTCAACAAAGAGATGCACGTTTTAACGAGTAATATATTAACTCTGGACAATATTTACAACACATGACTGTCGGTTTATAAATATACTGTATAACACCGAAGCTAAAGCCAGGCAAGAAATTACTTAAGCATTACTCTCCTGTTGAAGCAACACATCTTCAGAAGTGTGAAGATGCGCTGATTAACACGAAAGTGCTTAAGTAATTTCTTGTTTCAATGTATCTTCGTGGTTATACAATTTCACCTTATTCATCACGTTAATTTCTTCGTGATTTACACACACATATAATAGAGTTTAAGTAG